TGGTAGGGGTTGGTGGTGGTAGGTAGGTAGTGTAGGTAAGTAGGTAGGTGTTGAGGAGTAGATAGTGAAGTATTTAACAAATGTGTGTGAGTGTTTGGGGGGATGTCCTGTGATGAGAATAATAGACAGGTTGTGGGTCGGTGGAGGTAGTTAGGTAGGTAGGTAGGTAGGTTTTGAGGAGTAGTTAGTGAAGTAATTAACAGATATGTGTGAGTGCTTCGGGGGATGTCCTGAAATGAGAATAATAGACAGGTTGTAATTCTGCTACGTTGGATACTGCGTGCTCGTTCATAGACCACATCCTTCGCCCGCATGCAGTACCGTGTGATGACGACTCGTGTCTGTTTGGTAGGTGTAGGTAGCGTTATATCCCTTGGGAGGCCCACTATATACACACACCCCCGCCCTAAAACCCCTCTAAGCCTGACATATACATATGTTTTAGAGTTTAGGGTTTAGGGTTTAGGGTTACCACGCCCCGGTGATCAAGTGCGCGCTCTGAGCCTAATTCGTATACCTACTAATGAACCAATGCGAATAACCATGTTACTTACTACCAACCACCATTGTTAGCTACTCACCTGAGTAACTACCCAACACCATTGCCTATATAGTAAGTTACCTACTCACCTGAGTAACTACCATTGCCTATGTAGTAAGTTACCTACTCACCTGTGTCGTGTCCTGCTTCACACCGTCATACACCAACACGCGCAGGTCTTCCGTTTTGGCCTCAAACTCCGCGGCCCATTGGTACAGTATCGTAATAGGCGTCACAATGAGTGTTGTCTTGACACTCCTGACGGGTGTCTGCTGTTCTATTTCCGGTTGGTTGAGTGTGATACACTCGCTGGTTGGCTCTGTAGAATATGGTGTGGATAATCATATGAATCGGATCACTTGTTTGGGTAAAACTGTGAACTAGAATGGGCTTAGTGAGGAAGATTTTCTGGATAATATGTAGTCTTTGGTTTTTGTGCCAATGTCACTGCTCGTGTGGCCGTTGGATGGATGTATGAATGGGTTGTCTTCCAGACATTAACAATGCAGATACACAGACCATAGTAGTTGGTAGATAGTACCGAACTGCCCACAACAACCTCTATACACTCCAGGGTTCTCCGTTTAAACTTAGAAACCCGTATCCCGGAACCCTAATAACCACAACCACACCACGGTCAACGTACCTGGTGCATTGCTTTCCAATACCTCAACAATCACAACATGAGGATGATATAGTATTGCTCAGAATAACCACTGAAAACTCCCGGGATATGCCCTGCCACCCTAAACCCTATACCCTATACCCAGAATAATACCATTGGCCCCCTTAGTAGTCAACACGCCTGTTGCATTGCTGGGTGGGTCACCCATCAAGCGCTTGCATGCCACGGCCGCAAGTAATAGCAGGGGCATCTCTATCTATCACCTCCGCGTCATTCTCTAGCAACACCCTCCCACTGTCCACTCAGCCACCCACAAACAAGCCACAACCACAACCACAGCCACCCAAACACAAGCCACAACCACAACCAACCACACACAAGCCACAACCACAACTACACCCACAGCCAACCACACATAAGCCACAGCCACAACCACAGCCAACCACACATAAGCCACAACCACAACCACAGCCACCCACACACAAGTCACAACAACAACCAACCACACACAAGCCAAAACCACAACCACAG